GCAAAGGCCAAGTCCTGCATCATCCCTCCCATGCCGCCCATGTCGGCGCCGGCGTCGCCTTCGCCCTGCCCCGCCAATAGATCCTGGATGCTGCCGTTGGGGTCGATCTCCATGGCGCTCAGGTTCTCGAAGCCGTCAATGAGACGGGCCTCCTTGCCGAACTTTTGGCTGAAAGCATCGCTGAGGTTGTGGGCCGGGTCGGTTGAGATGAGCAGCACGGAGCGGCGCACTTTGGCGAGCTGGATGGCCAGCGAGCAGGATGTGGTCGTCTTGCCCACGCCGCCCTTCCCGCCAACGAAGATCCAACGCAGCGACCGCTGGTCAAGGATCGACTGCAGCGTTGGCTCCATGATTTGGTTGGTGATGGGCGTGGATGAGGTTGGGATGCATCCCGTGCAAATGTGGTTGAGGGAGACGTCGTTGTAGCCGAGGCTTTTGGCGAATTGGAGGGTGCGCTCGAGATCGGTGGCGGGCAACCTGGCGCCCAGGCGAGGTTGAGGTCGTAGAGCATTATTTAACGGGGAGGTTGTGTCGCACGCAGTGCTGCCGATTAGGTAGGTGTGATGATTGGGTGTGGACAATCGGAAAGCAGAGGCCAAGCTTGAAGCTTTTGAGAAAGTTAGAGTTGTGGGTCCAATATATCATCTAGTGAGTGGGTCCGGGTCTCGGCTCGCCTTGCTGCAGGCCTGCCAAGCCTCTCGCTTGCCGATCACTGACCTCTTCGCCGTGTCTCATTCACACGACCTCCATACCTCGATCCCATACTACCCAAACGGCGAACGTACAGATTAAATGGTCTGGCTCTATCGCTGTATCACCTGCAACACGCAACAAGAGTTTTTCAGGACCTTGTTCAGGACCCACACGTCGACCGCCTAGGTTTATTTCTTACCACAACGCGTTGTCGTGGAATAATGAGAAGACCCTCCTGCCCCGTCTTCAAGAAAGAGACGCGGTGGGTCATTCCGGAATTTAGCATCACCCACGTTCTCGTCAACGATAAAGAAGGATACCTACCAGAGTGGAAAAATCAGGTTGGTGGCATACCTTACCGGGGCCAACATGCTATACCACCACCCAAGTGGTATTCGATATCGTGGACATGGGACCAGAAAAAGATGTAATTCTCGGACGCCCATGGCACAGGATTTATGACCCAGACATCAGCTGGTAGGGAGATGGCCATCTGCGACCGCGTGAACAGCGGGAGCATCCGACCAACCTGATGGGAGAACGCGCAGAACAGGAGCCACGAACGAGCAGCGGGCCAGAACGAGCCCCCTCTAAGGGCCGTTTCGACGGACCGCCAACTGCCCTCATCTTCCACAGGGCCTGACAACGATAAAACTGTAATTCCTTTCTGTTCTTCGGTTGATGATTTTGGGTTTCCACCCGAACGCTCGCAGCTGACTGATTTCTGTCTCAATCCCTGGGGATCGGGTTCCATGTCTTTATCGAAGGGAAAACAATAGAACCGAAAATGGCGGTAATAAAAAGTGCGACGACTATAGTCATGGCAATTGACATCCACCTGATAAACTCCCGTGGAACCAACCTAAAAATGTTTGTTAGCAGAAAGATAATCAATCATAGTAAATGCCGGGGGTGGCCGTTGAGCCCGAGCGAAGGGTGCTTGCAACATACCAGTCGTAACAGCGGAGCAGGTCTCTGATCAACCGCTCCAGGTTGCCCGCAAGAATGAAAAGGGCGCGAAGCAGAGCGTTTAAAGCGCGCTCGATAGCGAAGATAATAATGGCTACATTGGATCGTTCGTTGTGATCTGCATTGAGAGTGATCAATGCATTGGCGCCCTGGTCGCCATCGGTGGCCTCGCGGCGGGCGCCGCGTTCGAGGTCCTGTACGAGGGCTAGATCGGTTATTTCTTCGTGGGATGGTGGTACAAGACCGCCAATGTCGTCAAATGAGAATAGCGGAGGTGAGGTTGACGATGATGGTTCGTGCGGATGGTGGTTGGCAGTGTTTTGGGAAAGCTTGCGATCTTCGAAGCGATCGAGCGAAGGCCTCCAAAAAGGTACCATTGTAAGATCAGATGGCCGGCGGCCTAAGCTTTCAGTTGGGTAACGCGGAATTTATATGAGTTTATGTGTCGTTGTTGTCGCTTCACTTTCATTAATTGTGTGGGAGCTCACTTCGAGGGAGCGATAAGGGGAGCATGCTATTTAACATGGCAAGGTGCCCCGACCCGCCGTTACAAAGGCCGTGGGACGGCAGAGAGATTCAATCATATCGGGACCTACAAACCGTATTACGGGGAGTAGGTGCCCGGAGCAGAAGATTTGTTAGGAAGGTCCTTGGCTGGCTGATGGACTCTGGCCGGCTACTGGAGTATAGGCTGGCCAGAAGGCTGGAGCTAGAAACAGTGGATGGGGAGGGCTAGAGGGCCCGGAGGCCGGCAAAGGGCCTCCTTTCTTTTGCAGTATGACGGATTCATAGATTGTTGTCTCAAAGTGGTAGACAGAGGTTTTTATCCGGCCTATACGGTACGGTTTCCTTTGTAAATAGCAGTAGAAGGACCGGCGCGCCCCAGGGCATATCGGTGTAGGAAATAATAATATTTAACATGGCAAACAGTTTGGCCTTCACCGTGTGACTAAAGTGGTGATACTATGCTGCTTTGGTTGTTTTAGAAGGAGATGCAGGACATTAATATCGAATTGAGGCTTTTGCTCTTTATTCATCCGCAATGCTGTTTGACCCAACCCAAGGGCCAATACTAGGTAGGATTGGCTCTGGATCATGTACTTTGTATGTGTTGCAGCTCCTCCTATATTATCACAACTGTATCTTACTGGGACCTTGTGTAGAACGAGTTGCCGAGCTGCCTGTCGTGGGCTCAAGTTTGGGTGTCATTTGTAGGCTTGACCTTGAGGATTGGAGTTGCTAGATGGGTGAGAGGAGGGAGCCCTTCAGGCCCGCCCACTTGAAAATGGAGCCTCAAGGTTGTAACAATATAACCATAGAGAGCAGGCAATCATTTCCCTGTCTATTTGCTTCATTCAGGGCAGGGTTTATTCACACTTTCACAGTTTACCTTTGAAACGTGAGACAGAACGATGAACGATGTTCACCATTGACTTTTCAACTTCTAAGGTTGGGATTCTACTAAGACCAAATCAAAGGCTTCTAAGCTTCCGTGTGAGGACTGCATCTAGGGGGTGTTAACGGATGTTAACAGGGAAAAAGCAACTTGGAGTTGTCAAAACTACCTATATAGTGTAGGGGGAACAAGCCAAGGCAGGTGAAGTCAGCTCGGGTTCCATTGCAGGCGAGACCCGAGTCCTTTTCCTCTTTCCCTTCCCGACCTTCTGCGAGAGGATCCGGTCCAGGGTTAGGGTTACCATCTGTACCAAGCTCGGCCAAGCACTCATTGCGTTGTATCTGTAGGCGACATCTCCACGTAACCCCCGACAAACAAGAAAGCCGAGCCCGCCGCCTTGTTGATCAAAAGACTGGTTTTCATCGCCTTCTTACAAATAAGGGACTCATTTTTGCTTATGGCATCTTGGCCCAATTCGCTGTATTGATCCCACCGGCCCGACCTCATCCCCATCTTGACAATGTGCATCGTGTTTACTTGTGGCGAGCACACCTTCCGCAAGGAAGTGGAAGGCTACAACGGGCTCGTTTGCCGGTGCTACAATTGCGGCAACTACTCGGGGTCAGTCGTCAAGTCGAACCCCTGGTTTACCTTTTGCTTTATTGTAAGTCCCTGAGTTCGGATGGCTCCCCCATTCCCCACTCGGTACCCGGCCGTCGCCCACGCGGCCCGGCGTCGCTGGCAGCTGCAGCGCTAACCCCAACCGTGTCGCATCGCAGCCCGTGATCCCGCTGTCGATGAAGGGATACGAGGACGTTTCCTGCCGCATTTGCAACTTCCAGCAGCCTCTCACCCACCGACCCGACGTTCAGGCGCTCAAGGGACAAGGGGGGCAAGGAGTACCGATGCAGTCGCCGCCGCCTGGACCGCAGCAGGGATGGAACCAAGGAACACCGAAACCGAACGAACCGATGAGATACGGATAAGATGGGGGTAGAGAGGGGAATGCGGCAGAATGAGCCGCACCGTTTTGCGGCAGGCTGGCTGTTGGCCCCGGATACCAGAACGGGGGGAGGGCGAGGCGCATGGCGCAGAAAGGGCGTTGGGGATTTATTCCGGATTTATGACTTGGTTCTTTTTGAGGTTGTTATGTTATGGGAACAGCTCCTGGAGGGTGTTGGCTGCCCCTGCCTCTTGCTTGCGGTGAATCGGGAGGGTATGCCTCGTAGGGCGGAACGGACGGACGCTTTGATCTTGTGGGCCATGTGTACATATACCCGGTTTTCGAGGTGGGCTACGAAAGTCTAGGTTGGAGAGTTTTTACTGGATTGGGGGGGGGGGGTTCCCCATATGTTTTCGGTATGCGGTTTCCTATCAATCTGGCTCTGCTTTGGCGGCCTCGGTCCAAAATCCGGCAACTATTTCCTGAACTTTCTTGGGCAAGAGAGGCCATATATTATGTATGTGCGGCTGGCCTTTGACCGCTCCACGCAAGTCGGGACCTCCCCTCCTTACATTATTGGTGTGAAACGCATATGAATACACTTGATATTCTCCCCATGTTTTTCATCATCAAGGACTCGACTTGTGCCTGAGTACCTATCCAGCAGCGAGCTGACTGTGGGGCGTAGCCGTTGAAGAACGAGGTGGGGCCGCTGTAGAATGACGTCGCTTAGCCTCTCAGAAATCTGAGGCGACTGCAGCCAGGGCCGAAAAAGAGGATATGCATTCGAAGAGCGCTGCGGGTGTTCGATTGTTGCATGTGGTAGTCCAAAAACAGCTTCATCCAATATTGTGGCTTCCAGACGCCCGATAAACCACACAACCGACAAGCCGCAGGACTGCAGAGGGCAATTGACCCCAATGTTAAGAACAGAGGCTCAAATTGAACTGCGCCGTCGCAATCAATCCGCCCATCAATTGACAATTGATCGCAATCCCCAACCAAGTCCCACGCCCCGGAAGGCCAGCTCGACCAAAAGCACTACTCACCCATCATGGCCTCTGCGAAAAGGGGTGCCTCAGTTTTGGTGAGTCGAAGTCCGGATGTCTCCCAGCCGCAGTCTTGGTTAACGTGGACCTTCTTATTCTAGGTGACCGACTCCCGAGAGCGACCTTCTGCCCGGGGAGGACCCCAACGAGCCACCCCCAACCCCGCTCGACCGAGCAGCCGTCTCGTATCCGTCGACAATGTGCTGCAATATTCGTCCGATATACCCTCGGGCCAGCCGAGGGTGCCCCCAGCCCAGCGCCCAACACGCGCCATGGCCGTGCGACGAATCAGCCAGGGCGGCTTGCCCACGCTCGCCTCCGCCCGCACCGGCCAGCAAATCGTTCCCTCGAGAACAACCAAAGTCAGCGAGAAACTCGTGCTGATACCCGAGGCCCCCGAGGCTGGGGACGAGGAGGCGGGGAGCGACGACGAGTTGGTGCGGCGCGCGTCACTACTTCGTCGTGAGGACGAGAACCGCCCGCTCAAGGACGAGGAACTGGATGTACTTAGAAAGCGAGGAGGCATTCGCGGGAAAAGCTATGCGGAGCGATTGCCCAAGTTACAACGCGGGGAGAAGGTATCCCGGTTGACAGCCTACTGCACCGCCCAGTCGTACAAGATGAAGGCGACGGGTGACTTTTTGCGGAAGACACACGAGGCGAAAACAAAGCTGTACGACGATTGCCTCTACGCGGTATACCACCTCCCGCTTCTCCCGGGTACCGAGGGCTATCGGTTAAGGAGCCGCCCTGTTCTGAAGACACCAGGGACAGGAAAGACCGTCCTCGACCTCGAGATTGAGCGCAGCGAACGCAGGGACGAGCACGAAGGTTATTGGGACGAGTATGCCTACAGCGTACAGGGCGTTGATAGCAGCCCGGGTGCAGCACCTCTCCTACAGCCAGTGGCGAGCGCCCCAGACACTTTTGGCACCACCGACAACGACCACGATTCCGAGCATGTGACCATCTCCCCCATCAACCGGCTGGTCCCAGACGCAAAGAACTTTGGCGAGATGTTTGTCTACTCATACGGCGTCGTGGTGTTTTGGAATTTCACCGAGCGCCAGGAGAAGGATATTCTCGCCGACCTCACCTTCGCCGAGAACGAGTCGGGCTTCACACTGGCTACGAGCACGCTCGACGAGGATGATTTTGAGACGGAGGAATTCCACTTTGAATACAGCGCCGACGTCAAGCGCCCCCGCGTCTTCAACGACATGATCACCCTCCTCCCCCGGTCAGACCACATGGTCAAGCTCACCATCAGCCACGCCATTGCGCAGAGCACCAAACTCTGCTTCTTCGAGGAGCGCATGTCCGAGACGATGCTCGACGCCCAGCACGTCCCCAAACGCCTCGCCCTCACGGGAGAGCTCAACATGACGCGCACAGAAATCGTCAAGATCCTCGGCCGCCTCTTCAAAAGCCGCGTAGACATCAACCTCTGTAAGCACCCACCCATCCACCCAACCATTACCATCCCCCCCCCTCTCTCCACCTCCCAACCACCCCAACTAACACCCCCCCGCAGCCTCCAACGTCCTCGACGTCCCCAACTTCTTCTGGGACGCCGAGCCCACCCTGCACCCGCTCTACGTCGCCATCCGCGAGTACCTCGAGATCGACCCGCGCATCCGCGTGCTCAACGAGCGCTGCCGCGTCTTCCTCGACCTGGCCGACATCCTGGCCGACAGCGTCGCCGACTCCAAGATGAGCAACATCACGTGGATTATTATTATTTTGATTGTGGTGAGTATTATTGTCACGGTGACGGAGGTCGGGTTGCGGTTTGGGATGTTGTCGCGGGAGAAGGGGAAGGGGGCGGGGGAGGGGGAGGGGGAGGGGGCTGTTGTTGGGGTTAGTGGTGGTGGTGGTGGTGGTGGTGGCAGTGGGGATCTTGATCTGAGGTGGTTGCGGGAGAAGAACGTGTCGGTGGAGGAGCTGAGGGTGTGGGCGCGCGCGCTGAGCGAGCGGGAGAGGGCGGCGGTGTGTGGGGCCGAGATCGTCGGCACGACGTTTGCGGGTGTGTGAAATGGGGGGATGATAGCTTGGGGTGTGGGGTGCGTTCTCTTGTATAGCATGTGTACCTAAGTAAGTAACTTTAGAAATAGTGTTGGTCGTGGTAGCTTTCTTTGGATGGATTTTGGGGGGAGCAGCACTCTCTCGGCTGGCAGCGCATAGCGGGGCGTTTAC